ACTAAAGTAATACGTATTTTAATAAGATCACAGCAAAGAAAACTTAGAATAACCAATTGACCTGAAATGAAGGGGATGCAGGAGAAATTTATAAGCACAACCAGCATTCTTTTACCTTGAGGGAACAGTGTAAACCACAGTAGCTTAATGCAATGTATTTAACACTTAAATTACACAGCAATCTCATTATAAAAATGGTTATTCTTTATTGATGAACAACAAGGATTTAAAAGAAAAAAAATTATAAATCAGAATGTTTAATGATAAAAGTTGAAAAAGCAAGAGAGTTAAAACTCTTAAAAACATATAAGAACAGCAAAACAATGTCTGAATCTCTACTAATTTGATAATGATATCCAAGAAGGTTTTTAAGGTGTCGAATGAAGGTTTCAATGTGGCACAGGGTGGTGCAGGGATTAAGTATATGAACATGTACAGTCATAGAACTGAGTCCCAGCCAGGTGACCTTTGCTGCATGTTTTTCTTCTTTTCAATTTCAATTCCTGCATGCCTGCTATCAAAAATAAAGGTTACAAATGCACAAAAATATAATCTAAAAGAATGAAGGCTTCAAGATTTTTTTTCATGTAAAAAAATTAGATGGGGTATAGAGAGCAGAGTTTGAAAGTGGTTGCTTTTTATGTTATCTTTTACTATCTAACTTTTCTTCTCTTTGACTGAGGTGTGTCCAGCGAGAAGCTGAAGAATGGAATGTCCCTTTGGGATTATTTAAGTCTGTCTGTCCCAACATCCGGTCTGTTCGCCTGCCCACCAGTAATTTTGTGACCTTTACCACAATGATCTGCTAATTCAAATCAGGCTTTTATTTTCTATGTTATGTTAGGGCCTTATTTCGAAAGCTTGGTGTAATGGTGTGTCTGAAAGCTAGACTTGTGTAAATAATTAATCTAGAAACTTTTTCCATTGCCTACATCACACAGTTTATTAACATCATAACCGTTAGTGCTCATAACCGTGAAGTGCTCTGTTAAGAACATAAGGAACAATCAGATCTCTGATACAAGATCGAGCTTGGTTATTTAGGGCTCCTAAATACAGTAACATTAGAGAATTACGCATATCATGCCATTTATGATGATATGGAAAAAGTCCCTGAAAGGCAATTGAATAAATCACAATGGCCAGAATTACAAAAAAACTGCCCCCATTGCCCCTAAGAATGGAAAAGTTACGGAATCTCATGTCAAATCAGGTTTGCCTGTTTGAATAAAAAGTAGAAACATGTCCCATCTTCTGAGATCAACAGTAAAAGGTGTGAAGTAAAATGTGTTGTTTCCTATGCTGCTGGAGAAAGGGGGCTTCTTTTAGGCAGTTGTGAATGGAAATACATACCTTTGCAAGAAAACAAAACAGTTATTTGTTATTTCTAAATCTAATATGGTATTTTATATCACAGAGAATATTCTGGCAATCAGAAAAGAACACAACCCTTCAAAATCTTGTCATACACTTTGGAGCCATCGATAAACGAGAAAAAAATAGATGTACTGAAGGAAGATTTTATTCATCTTCTGTATAAAGAAGGAGATCTTTAGTATATTAAAATGCTTCGAAATGGACTTTTGCCCTTTTTTTTTTTTTTTTTTTGTGGAGATAATACTTGTAATACTAGTAAAACGTTCTTGCCGCTTCACCTGAGCTTATCAATAATGTGCTTTATCATTATAAATGTTTTTGGGCATAAAGGACAACCTTCAAGGAAGATGTTTTTTGTTTTATCAGTTTAATGGGCTTGTTCTGTGAACCATCAACCATCTGCCTTTATCCTAAAGAAAGAACATAGAGGAACAACAACCATGATGCGGCTGCCTCACTCAGTTCCACCTCTGACATAGGTAATAAGAAATTGGCTCAGAGAAGTATTTTAACACAAAAGCCCTCCCTGCCAACTTCTGCAGGAGAAGGGGAAACCCACGATATCATCCTTCACCAAAACCCCAACCCATATCGACCCCCCATTAAACTCATCCCCAAACACACGTACACAGAGAAAGGGTTCCCGCTTAACTCCACAAATATGGACATCTCGGGTCTACCTCCCTCCCAAATCCTAAACTAGATAGATATCTTCATTAAACCGCTGTCACCCATGAACCCAAACTAAACCACACAAAACTCCACCCCTTTCCCACTGAGCCAAGGTTTTTCATTAGCTGATTCTCCTGAATATATGAAAGAAGTGTTTAATATTACAACCCATCCATCTTCTAATCGACCTCCTTCAAACCAAGACCCTCGTACCGATTCTGTTTGATACGTTTTGGACCTCAGTGGTTATCACCTCAGCTTTGCATATCAATATTTGCTTTTTGCCAAAACAGATGGAAACATGGATGACTTTTTAAGAATACAAATAAAGCAGTATTAAAGCATCCACCACATGAAAAGTGGTAGCGAAGGACCCAAGCTAGCTCAGGACTGATTAGGCACTTTATGTGGTTCTGGACAGTGTGATATTATTTATTATAATGGTATGAATCTGGCATAAAAAAAAACACGTCTGCACTACATTTAGTGGCACTGTGAAGGTCGAAATTAGATGTGTGGTAGAAGTTGTGGTAGAAAATGCTGTGTTTGGCCTTTTATGCTGAACTTTCAGGGGTCTTGACATTAGACATGCAAAGGCAACCTAGAAAATACTTTTTATAGATGTGTCTTTGGGCATTGGGTTGTTTCATTTTCTATTTTAAGAATAGGTCAAAGTATGCATTTGATAAAAACTGTTTTGTGTAATAACTGTTTTACTTGTAATGTTTTGGGGCATTTGTTTGGAATTGAAGCATTGAAGCATGAAACATTGTGTGAGTCAAGGCCATTGACCAAGTTCACAATTAATTGCTTCAAACATAAAACTACTTTTTTTTATTGTAGACTTAAGTGTCTTCTCTGAGATTATGCATATGTATAATTTGTCCAAAACTATTCTAAGCTGTAATTTCTGAAGACCCAAATGCAAGCACGAGGCAGGCAATGCTTTGTTCAGGTGAATCTAAATAACCAAAATCCAAATGCACAGAGGAAACAGGATAAAAAGAGCTGTCCTGATGAGTATAGATAGTGTGGAGAGTGACTGGAGGATGAAAAACAGGTGAGTGAATGCACCGATGCTTGACTGCTAGGATGAAACAGAGCAGATGAGGGTGCCTGATATGACAGGAACAAACACGGGGAACAATATATCAACAAAAGAAGAGAGGACTAAGAAACGGCAAAGAGCTAAACCATTGACACAGGAAGGAGGAAAAATCACTTAAGACTAGTACATTGTAAAATAACTGCTAAACCTCTAATTACACATAAACTAGGACCAAAAAGCCGAGAATACCACACTCCTTCATATGCTTATACACTGTTTAAGGTTTTGCAGAGCCTTGAACTATGACTTGTTAATTTTCTTCTTATTATTTAACTTTATTTTACAGGAATAAGATTTGTAATTTTTTTAACTGTGTAAAATCCCAGTCAGCAGACTCATGGCAACCAAAAAGCACTCTTAAATTGGAGGACAAAAGGACTTTCGCTTTTTTTTATTTCTTTTTATATGTTTTGTCACCTATCCAGGAGTCTTTGTCAATTCTGTCAGCTTATTTAAAAACAGTTAAAGAAGCCCTTCTGTAAGTTAAAGTAAGATATTTTTGTTTTGTTTTTTTAGAAATCTTAAAATAAAAATTACCACACTGTTGCTCTTTCAGATATTTACCAGACTGTTGCTATCGGGTGGCGTTTTTGAAAGTCTTACAAATATTCAATGTAAAAGGTCAACATTGAAAGAAAATGAACATTGAAATTTCAGACTAAGAAGACTATGTCCTTATAAAAAGATAATTATGTAAACTTGTCATCAGGAATAACCACTTTTTTTCCTTTTTCTGAGAAGTGATCAAAATCAGAATAGTTGTATTTTCTTACCCGTCCTGGAGTAGCACTCCAGGACAGGTGAGCTAGAGTTTCGGTATACCCCATCTAAGGGGACGCGGTGTCTGTGTCTTACTGCCTTGAAATGTGCTGCCTTAAATTGCTTATGCAGGAATTTTACCAAAAGTAACACAAATGAAATTGCGGTTCAAGCTGAGTTTCTGTCATCTGAGAGTTCATTAGTGTGGTGGAGCAGCTATTATTAAAGTGCAAACAAAGCAACCTGCTGACAACCTGCTATTGTTTTTTTTAGCACATTAAAGATGTTTGCATGTTCTATAGCAACCTAATAAATAATTACTTCAATTAACTTAAACAGAGATTAAATATTCCCTTTCTATTCAGGGAAAAAATGCAATGAATTCCCGTAGTTATCCATGACCCATAACAACATATTCTCATGATTCATTCTCAAGGTGCTATAAACATGAGTGTATTAAGACATCTGTTGAGTGCATGCTTGGTTCATGTTCATGCAGCCCAGGGTCTTTTCTGCTCATGATCAGAGGGTCTGTTTTCCATAGTGAGATAGGGAATTAAATTTGCAGGAACAGAGGATGCTGGGATTGCTGCAGGGTGGCAAAGCAGTGGCTCTGATAATGGCGCTGACTCCCATTCAGCAGCCTATACGGCAACCAGCCATGGCACCAAGCCAAGCCAGCCTCTGTGAGAGGATAGCTAAAAGAGTCTCCATGCATAAACCTTCTCTTTCTCTCCGATGTGTGCAAGTTTAAAGCTGCATGTGACAGCGACGAGGAGAAAAATGAAATGTTGTGCTTCAGAATTGCTCTGCAGCTCCATTAGAGTTAAAACATGGAAGAAAGGGCACTACAAATAGTGGAAAGTGTAGGCATTGCTTTTTTTCAGATTGTGCTTGCATGATGAATAGAATATGCAAACTCTGAGCAATCGATTATGTCAGTGTGATAACATGCTTTCAGCACATTGGGAGTAAAGTCCTTCTGTACTGCTTTGCAAAAAAAAACAAAAAAATGTGCTAGTGTTCATAGTCTAAAAGCAGGTTTTCTTATAAATTTATATACTTTAGAATCAGAAGAACTCACTCAAAACCTCGCCAGTGGTGGATACGCCTCACCCCCTTCACTTCAGGGCAGTCTGTAGAGAGAAATAAGAGGTCAGACTTAATCTGGTAGCACAGATTATATTTGGGGCTACGGCAGCAGTTCTAATAATGTAGGAATCAAATTAGTTTAGTCCGGAATTATATCTATGATTCAATCCCAGACTTTACATATATCATTTCATGCCCTCAAATAAAATTTAAAAGCAGAAAAATATATTTGTCCTTTGTCAATAAAGAGTAAATTTTCTGATTTATATGCATTGCTTATATTTTTGTTCAGTAGCATAATTAACCCTAGATCACTAGATGCTTTATTTAGCTTGGGGCTAGATTATCCCCAAACAAATAGTTTCTGCTAGAAAAAAGAGGTGCAACAAAGAAATGTAATGAAATATTGATATAAACTGAATGTCAATTATGTAAGTTTTGTTTTGAATGAAATATTGTTTAAATTCTGCCAAGTAGTCTAATTACAAACTTTCATCTTTCTTCATAATGTGGACTTAAAGGAAGAAATTACACATACAAAAAATAAATGAATATTTGATAATTGTCGGAACATACAGGCTATAAAGAATGTAATTCATGTGCAATAAACTGCAAACTTGCAATTAACTCATGCTCTGTGTTTTAAGTTAAATACATCAAAACAAGAAAAAAACATTTGAGGTAGAACTAAAAAATAGATATATTGGCTTTGATTCGGTCTCATTTTTCTTACCATATTCACTTTGTAAATAGTTCATTAGATCATTAATAAAGGGAGTAATAGCAACTGCTCTCATTCTGTCAGTCTGTCAAAATTGCAAACCAACCACTCAATCACTCAGTAAAACAGCATGAAACACATCATGCAAACTTCAAAGTAACATTTTTATATCCAGGTTTAGTTTCAATAAAAGAAAAGAAAAGTGGGAAAATAGATCTTTTAAAGAACACCTGCATTTATAGCTCAAAATTAGGCCACATGTACAGCCTCATATGATACTTGTACCTTATCTGTTCACAACGTTATGAAAGATAAGTAAAATACCTTAAAAATCATAATTTGCTGGATTTTCATATTTTCACTGTGAAAAACTGATAAAATATTGATACCTTAATTGAGGAACAACAATCTAGTAAAGAAAATTTTTCCCACATCTGGCTTTAAATACACTGAAATCCAAGAGGCAACAGCACCACATATGAGAGGAGAGGGAAAGGCATCAGGTCTTTCCAAATCGCTGTTCCACCTGAGTGAGGAGCAGGCCCAAGAAAATGAGCGATTAACTGTCTATGGGCCGGATTTATCAAGATCCAATTTTGCGTGCAGTAATTTGCGCTCGCAAAGTGGAATTTTGCGCGAGGGGCTGAACCATGGTTTGAGGGTGATTTAACAAGAGCGATTGCGTAACTGGTGTCAGGTGCAAAACTGTTGGAGACGCCCTATTTAAATGATGGTTTTGCGCGTTTTGTGGTTTGCGGCAAAGTAGTTTGTAGTTTGTGCAAACTAGTGCATTAAGAAATTTTAATCTTACAGTGACACCACCCCCTCCAAAAAAAGAAATATATATATATATATATATATATATATATATATATATATATATATATATATATATATATATATATATATATATATATATATATATATATAAAAAAACTTTGGCAACCTTTATTCCCTAAGGTGGTATGTGGCTGAATTTCTACTTCACCGCAGTAAGAAAAAAACAAACAAACAAACAAAAAAAAAACAGGTGTTTTGTATCGGCCTGTAGAAAAATGCACATACCAAATGGCTCACAAGAAGTGACTGTGGATAAGATGACTGCATTGGCATGTTGCTCCACAGGCGCAGGGTGTCGGGGTTCTCCGGTAGGGCGTCAGGGCTACATGGCATTTAGAACGTCGGACAGCACTTCTGAAAAACGAGATTGGGAGATCCCAGCTCTCGCTGCAACCGTACGCTGGAATGACCCAGATGCAAAAAAGTGCAATGTTGCAAGGAGTTTCGTGATATCTGGTATTGCGTGGGTCCTCCTTGTGGCTGGCTCCAAATCCATTCGGAGTTCCCCCAACAGCTCCAAAATGGCAATGCTGGATAAACGATATGTTTTGATGATCGTTTCCTCGTTCATTCCAAAAATATTCACACGGAGTGAAAAAATGCGTTCTCTGCGTCTCCTTGCTTCATTTCCATGTCTCCTTCTTGCGACAATAACCTCTGCCATGTGTGCGCAATTACGCATTCAGACCATTTGCACCTTCTTTTGAAACATGTTAAATATAGAGTCAGATACCGTTAGCAAAATTGCTTTCAGGTTAGATAAATCACTTTGCGAGTGCTAAATTAATATATTTACATGTTCTCCTCCCACAAGACGCACTTTTGCGTGTAAACGCCCCATATTGCATATTCATTGGAGAAAAAGTACTAAATGGATAAGAGGCGCTATTTAGCACGTTTTAAAGACCAAATCCTTTTAGCACGCTGTTGATAGATCAGTTTGTACATTTTTTAGCGTGCGCAGTGAAATAGCTCACGTTTTTATACACGCAAACCTTTGATAGATCCGGCCCAAAGTGTACAAAATGTGCATGTATGGATTTGCATAAAGAACAGAACCAGTCTATTTATAAAAAAAATAAATAAATCCGAAAACTTACATTAATGGGAAATAATTTGATCTGTGGAAAACAGGCTGCTAGTTGATTTGGCACAGAAACAAAAAAAACCCAAAATGGTCATAATTTGTAAGAATCAAGATTTGTATCAATGTTCCTCTTAACATCGACCTTATTTTATGTAGTCAACTCCTTTTTGCATACCCAAAACGAAAAAGCAAATAAGTCCAAATTACGTGTGATACATCATTTGAAAGCTAACATCCTCTAGTTTCTGAAATTATAAATCAAAACAAGGTGGCTAAAACACAAGCCTAAACTGTATCAGTCCAAACATGAGTCAAACTTGTCTTTTTTCTTCTCGAAAATAATAGGTCTTTTTTGAATACCAGTAACAAAGACATGCTTGAGAACAGGCACATGGCATTGTTTTTCATGTAGTCTGCATTATGTCAACAAGAACTGCAGAATATTTAAGACTTCTAGGTATAACAGTTCTAGAGATTTGGAACTTTTAACTTCATCAGCGTCTCCTAACCTCTTTAAAATATGCCAAATTATTCCAAATTGTGCTTATTGCTTTTACACAACAATTTTACCCTGAAAATCACACTGAGGCATTTTGATGGCCACAAAATATTTGTGAAGCAAATATTCTTTTCATTTTTCTAACCTTCCATCTACTGTAATTATCTAACAGTTTGCAATGATCCAGGATTGGATCTGCCTCTAAGCCTTTATGCATGGCTCTATATCTGGTCTGCATTAATCAAATTAGCAATTTTTAGCCTCATTTTAAAGGAAATTTAATTGGCCAGAGAGCCAAGCATTGTGTGTGGCCATAACACATAGCAGTTGGACTTACTGAGGAATACTATGTGGGGAGTAATGCTTAAAGTCAGCAGCTGAGAGGGAGCGCTTTGACGCTTTGAGGGCGTTAAATCTCAAAATAGGGCAGCCTACAATTTTGTTTTTAGGCTGCAAGGAGAGGAAAAGCATATCCAGATACATCTATGTTTACCTATGGTAATTAGGAAGACGTTAGCCTTACCTTTAAGGATTGAACTTTACTGAAAAAAAACAGACTTTATGTGGCGATTTTTTCATCATGGAATGTTTTTATTAAGAATATGCTGGATTACATCTGTGGTATAAACAACTGATGATTGGATTTATAATATGACTTCTGGACACCGTAAAAGGTATATTGTTGCAGCTCCTTTGATTTACCATGCCTATGTATCTGTGTTAATTGTGCTTTGGTGCTCGCAGTGTCAATAAAATGAACTTGGTGGTTGAATTGTGAAGAATCTAATCTGTCTAGCAATGTGCTAACATGTCTAAATTGGAAACATTTAACAGGTGTTATTTTCAAATGTACTGCTGTGTTTAATGTAAAAACACAAAATGGAGCGCCGGCGACCAGATGGATGTAATGAAAATTATTGACAAAGAATGCTGGATACAAACTAAACCATTCTTTTTTTTTTTAAGGCTGTGCACAAATTTCCTGATAGTATAAATTACTGAAGGTATTAGATACTGTAATGCACAAAGAATGAGGTGGCAGATCACCTTTTTGGGAGTTGCCCAGCTTTTTCATCAAGTAATAGTGAGTCAAGAAACACAGTAGTGCCTGCTACCTTAGTCAGACACAAAAATAAAACTTCACACCTGGGATGCTGTGAAGATGCACCAACGCAGGTGTAGAAGCCAGCCCTCCAGTTTTCTGTCAGCTAGTGTTTCCTTTTGGTATTTTATCTTAATAAAATATTCTGCAATTTGTCATGTGTGAGCTGACAGCCCCCTCACCTCTGCATCACAACAACCCAAGCATGATACAGAGAAAGCTGCCTCTCTGAGCCAGTCTAAATGAATTTGTTTGTATTAGTTTAGTTTTGCATGCAGGAAGCAGAGTGTTGTGCATTCAAGCGCATTTCTGCTCCACCCCTCTGATCCAACATGATAAGTGACAGAGGTGTGAAAAGAGACAAATCATCTTTTTTTTTTGCAAGGCTTTACCTTGACACAAGCTGTTCTACATGCCTTTTTTTGTTTGTCTAGCACAGCAGAGACATGCCTAAAAGCAACAATAAAAATATGGTTCTCCCAAAAACCTTAAATATTTAGATAACTGTAGTAACTCCGATGGGCAAATTATCTTTTTTTATCTATTAATTTATTAAAAAAAAATTTTTACCTCCAGAGAAACAAACACTTTTTGTTAGATATTATAAGTCAATTAAGCACAGGCCAGCTGGATCTAGAGGAATCATTATAAAGTGTTTTAAATATGCATGTGTAGGCTGGTGTTGATTACATTAGTTACTGTTTTCATCACCCAGAAAATATAGCAATCATATACAAACAATCAAAGCAAAAGAATTACTTTCAGTCCAAAACTGGAGCATAAATATGCAGTTTT